GCAGGGCGCAGGGAGCAAGGAGCAGGGCGCAGGGCGCAGGGCGCTGGGCCCGGCTGTGCCGAGCTGAGGGCCGCACGGGAGCTTCTGAAAGACACCGGCGGAGGGGCGTCCGGCAGGGGCATCCTGCCTTGTGCACAGTTGTAATTTACAGAGCTAGACACACACCTGAGAGTACAGCTTGTGGGTCCTCACAGGTCTATAAAACCCACTGGGACCAGATACAGGACGCTGCAGCACCCCGAGGGCTTCCTGCGGCCGAGAGGTTATTTTTCTGGTATTATTTGCACTTCTCCAGGAATAAACCCCGCAAGGGAGCCGTGGACGGCCGACACGCAGGGTCTGTCCTCTCCTGGCTGCCTCCACGGACCCTGGGCGCGAGAGCTGCGGCTGGCTTCCTCCTTGCCAAGTGCTTTCTATGCCCAGCTAAGTTTGACTCCACAACTGCCCTAGAAAGGCAATACTCAGTTTCTACCCAGGCTACTGGTGGAAATACTAGCCAGGAACCATTAAACAAGCGGCCTAAATTCGGAGAGCTGGTCCCTGGTGGACTGAGACTGGGAACAAAAGGTCCGCCTAACCTCGACACTCACCCACTTCCCTCCGGCTCACCTCTCGCTGCAGCAGCAGCTCTCAGCCCCCAGGGGCCACCCTTCCGCAGGCCATTCACAGAAAGTGCTGGGGGCGGGGGTCCTCGTCTTCACATTCACACACGTAATTCCCCTTCTACGTGGGAGTCTACTCCCCTCCTCCAGGTTTTGTTGTGTTTGCTTTTAAAGATTTATTAATTTATGCATTTGTGCATACAGAACTGGGGTACAGGCCAGAGGTGCAGGGGCAGTGAGAGGCTTCACCAGAGACAGAGTGGGGAGCAGAACAGGCAGGTCAATAAGTACACTGCTGAGGGGAGCAGCGGGCGGGTCAGGAGGGGTCTGCGAGCCATGTGGGTCACCTCCAAGGCTGGGGATTGAACTCGCACTGAAGTGGCTGATGCCAGCTCTCAGTGGGGGCCTTCACCCGTTGCGCCACCAGGGAGGGCCTGTTTTTGCTTTTGAGGCCAGCTCCTACTCAAGCTGCCAAGCCCTCAGGCAGGCTGTGAAGCCGTCCTGACTGCACTTCTCTCCCAGCCCCAACCCAAACCCTCCCCAAACCCTCCTCTGCACCACATTCATCCGCACCAGGCTGAATTCTGGGCCCCCAAGATTCCTCAAGGCTGTGTCCAAGTTCCATCTGCAAGATGCTCAGCACACAGTGGGTAGTTAAGAAATGTGTTTGGGGCCTCCTTGGAGTCTCAGCTCGATCCCAGCCAGGGAGGAGCCCACAGGGCACCACAGACCTCTCCTGTCTCCCCGCTGCTCCCGTCAGCACTGTGTTTCAGTGGATCTGCCTGTTCTGCTTCCCACTGTCTCTGGTGAATCCTCTCACCCCCTGTGCCTCTGGCCTGCACCCCAGTTCTTACATGCAAAAATAAAAAATTTAAAGAAAAAGAAATGTTCCTGGATTGAAAGTGGTTTTGGGATCTGGCTCTCCCCTCTGTGAAAGGGAGCCCCAATGTCCCTACTGTCTGTCACTCAAAAGCTATTGCAGCGGTGGGGCGGGAGCTTCCCCAGCCCCTGGAGCAGAACAGCAGCCAGGAAGAGACTGTGCTTGGTCCTACGGCCCAGGGACGCTTGGTGGGTGGCCCTGAGGTCCCCGGGAAGCCTGCCTGCCTTCAGCCAGGAGCATCCATTCCCCCTGGCCAGAAAGGGTCGTGAAGTGAGCGAGTGTCCCCAGATGTGACTGCCACTCTCCGGCCACGCTGTCCTGCCACAGACCAGGAGCCTGCGGGGTGTCCGACACAGGCATGAATGTAACAAGGGCTGGGCCAGGGAGGAAGGAGGACTGCGGGCCCTTTTTTTCCTATAGTTGAGCAACTTTCCCATAAATCTGACTCTGAACACACACTTTGCTTTGTTACTGAGGGCAAAAGAATCCCTGACATTTCAGCCAAAGGAAACTGCCCTCAGGGCTCCCCGTCCATTGCATTCCTGGAGCAGACACTTTGTGGGGAGGCCCAGGGGACGAGGGCGCTGCCCCAACCACCCACCTGAGGGGCAGATAGTGCCTGGTGGAGCAGGAGCTCGGACCAAGGGTTTCAAACGAGTGCGGGGTGCCCTCTCGCCCACGGGGAGAGCATGTTACTACGGACAGAGTGGTGGGCCGGCTCTGGGGCGGGGGTCTACGAGACCTGGGGCAACAAGGGACGGTTTGAGGCTTCATCTGCTATAAAATGGGGGTGACGAGCTCCCTGTTCACGATGCAGGAGCACGAGTTTCCCAAACACTGCTGTCCTCATGATCCCATTTATCTGATGGGGAAGTTGAGGTCTGGGGGGGACACCAGTCTTGGCCCTGAGGTTCCCCGGCCTGCTGTGGGCCCCTGCACCGTCGTGGCGGCCCCTCCCCAGGCCTCCCTGGCCAGGCCAGGCCCCCTGGAGAAAGGAGGCCCAGCCTGCAGCTGCCCTGCCCTGCCGGCAGCTGGGGCTGCTTGCCAGGAGGCAGCTGTCTCACCAAACGGCAAATGCACGTGCTTCTCCCTGGCTTGGGGAGGAGGTGGGCGCGGGGACAGAGATGCCAGCTGGCTGGGCAGAGACAACCGCAGCCACACCTGAGGGCCTTAAATAGCCACCGCCTTCTCTGGGGGGGGGGCAGGGAACAGACAGGCGCCCATTCAGAAGCAGGAGCTGGCTCTCCGCCCCAGCACTCTACCACTTCGCACCTTCCTGAGCCCCAAAAGCCTGTCACCCCATCCAAAGCCATTCAGGGAGCAGAGCCTGACTGAAGTCCTGAAACCGCCTGGCCGCCCCTGGTCAGGCTCATTACCTGACGGGTATTCTCATCCCAACCTCCTGGCCAGGACAGGCCACAGCAGCTTCCCTGACAAACGGGTGCCCCCCCATCTGCTCACCCACCTCTCACGACCGGGAGCTCATCATCACCCGTGACAACCCACAGGGTAAGGGGACGGTTTAATCGCATGAGCAAAGCCTAGAGTCGAGCGTGTGCCGGAATCCAGGCGCTGCTACTTAGCGGCTGTGTGACCTTAGGCAAATGACTCAGCCACTCTGTGCTGCAGTTTCCTCGTTGTAACGTGGGGACAGTGAGCGCACCTCACATGCGGTGGTGTCTAGATGACCGCACACCGCACAGGCACACAAGCCACTGGTTCAGCTGCAGATTCTGATTCTGAAGGCCCAGGGCGGCCTCCGATTCTGCATCCCTGCCGTGAGCCCTTGGGCCGCTGTACTCGAGTTTCAAAGTACTATCTTGCCCTCGGCGTCACGAGGGGGCCTCGGAAGGGCCACAAATTAAGGGAGTCACAGATGTCATCGTGAAAAGCCTCTGACTGCGGCAGGGAGCGAGGCGGCCAGAAGTTCAGGGCCAGGTGCGGAGCCTGTGGGAGAGGGGGTTATGGGGGAGGGGAGGGTGGCACGGGCACTTGGCTGAGGGCACCCACAGATGTGGGGGGGGTGGCTGGCCCGTTTAGGCCACACGGCCCTGGGAGGACTGCTGCCCAGCGGGGGCCCTTTACCCTCTCTGCATTCCAGCCTGCGCCCACACCCTGCAGCCCCCGGGGCCCCTCCCAGTGGCCTGTGCTGCTGTGTGATGTCTTGTCCTAGCAGGAAGATGGAGGCTAGAGGGGGCCTTGGGCCCCCCACGGATGGACTGGATGGACCACTTTCATACTCACAGGAACCCCGTTTGATGGAAGAAACAACTGAGCCACGAGAGGAAGGCGCGCAGTGCCACCTGCCTCCAAATCAGATCACCTTTGTGCACCGACAACAGGTCAGTCGTGGACAAGGGAACCCAAGGTAACAGCGGAGAGGGTGGTGGACCGTCCGGCTCCGCTCCTGCTCGCTCCTGCTCCACCCTGCCCTTCCCTAGAAGGAGGGGCTCAAGCCCCGATGCCCGACAGTCGCAGGGGGGCCCGTTTCTGGGGTGCTTCCAGCCTGCTAGGTTCCCACAGGCACTGGCCCGCCGGACCCCATCGCAGGACCCCAGTGTCTCTAGGCCTGTGTCCATCTGGGCAGTGTCCAGGGACAGGCGGGGCGGGGCGGGGCGCAGTCTGGCGGTCGGGGAGTCACCCCCTTTCACAGGTGGCAAAGGTGGGGTCATGGGCCAAGGTGGCCCAGCGGCAGCTGGAGGAGCTGGGACTC